CCATGAATTGTTTTCTTTTTATAATCAATATTTTTTATTATGATATTGTGGGGTAGAGTTAAGGGTTAGGTATACAAATATGCTTCATACAGGCACCCTTGTTGATAAGAGGTGTCTCCCCGTCCCCAGACAGATATTTACTACCGTTAATCCCATCTCCCTTCCCCTTCCCCCCGATAGTTTCCCACCACTGTCAGTCATTTTCTTATAATATTACATTGGAGGTTCAAGGTTCACTATATGAGTGAGAACATGTGATACTCAGATCTTTGTTTCTGTGAGAGGTCACTCAGTATTATAGACTCTATTTCCATCCACGTCGCTGCGAAATTCATGATTTTGTTCTTTTTTATGGCTGCATAGTGTTCCATCTTTATGGCTGCATAGTATTCCATCGTGTATATGTACCCTGAACTCAAATCACTCTAAAAAAAAGATACCTGCACACGTATGTTTATCGCAGCATTGTTCACAATAGCAAGAACCTGGAAGCAACCATGCTGTCCATCAAAAGAGGACTGGACTAACCCTGAATTGTACCCTATATCTTTATAAAAAATTTTTTTTTACCTTGATTGTTTTGCACTCTGGTATATGAAATTACCAGAAACCAAAAATGTGTCATGTCTTTTAATATGGCACATGACATTTAATATAATAATAATAACCATTATTATCTTGATCTCAAGGTAGCCAAACAAAATATAGGAAAAGATGGTATTAAAAAAAATCTTGGTGAGAAGTTATATAGTTAGTTAAAAAAAAGACAACATCATAAAATGTTTTATTTTATAAACCAATAATAGTAACTAATGCTCATTGAATACACACTGGAACTGCACAATAGTCTAAGTCGTTTGCCTCTATATTCTCATTTCATAACAGCCCCATATTGATGATGTGTACATTGTATCTCCCCAGATGAATTTATTGAAAAGATATTTAATTCACTCATAGAAATAAACTACTCCCAGAATTAATGCGATCATTTTCAAATGATAATTTGACACTCCTTGACTAGAATAACATTTTAAAGATTTCAAATGAATAAGTACAGGTGTTTCTGTAGGTTATTAATAAAAACATGCTATTATTAACCCAGCTGCCTGATCAATTTTAAGAGCCAACATACTCGAAAATGTCCACTATTTTCTGTAATTTAGTCTTCAAAAATTGTTAGTAACTAAAAATAAATCTCATCTCAGTGAGACCAGTTTTGCATTAATTTGACAATAGCCATTTCTTTACATTCAATTCCCCATCCAAAGTGATGAAACTTCAACAATAGCTTGTAGTTTAGGATGTACTCATGTGACTTCTATATAGTAAGGGCAAGATCATCTTTTAGTGACTGCTTAAGAGGTGGGTGCTTTTGAAAAATGATTGAGACTTAGCTTTAATTTTTAAAAACGTGAGACAATAACATGTATTATCAACAGTACAGACTATATTTAAATAGTAAATGAGAAAAAATTGTGTTTGTTTTAATATCAAATTGCCTCTTCAGTTGCATCAGTAGTACGATCAAGAGAAGGATTAAAAAACCAAATCAATTATCTAACTTCTAAATCTACCCTCAAAGCGGTTAGTTTTTTAAGTTTAAACTGTCCATGAAACATAGTCAAGCATGCCAAATCCATTAAGAAGTGAAAGACAAACTTCAAAAAGGTTATTTTTCATTAAAATAATCATTTTTCTTCCTGAAATCAGTCAACAGATGCAGGCTAAGGCTGAAGTGATTCACTTTTTGGCTAATTAAATTGATCAGGTTAGCTCTAGACACTGCCCCTACTGCAATGGCTCCATGTTACCACAGGGCCCTTACAACACTGTGGTGAACATCTGAGGAAAATGCTTCTAAAGAAACCTGTATTTCTACTTAGAAAGCTCAGATACTTTTGAAGCTTCAATTCTATACTAAGATTTATCCAAAATAAACTGAAAAGTTAAAAGGCAATTAGTGCAAAATTTCTCTGCAGCTGAAGTATGCTTTCTTTAATTCTTTTATCTGTCAATCTCTTTAATTTTTTATCTGTAGAATATATTTTTGAGACTATTTTGGATGCTTACCTGGCAGTTACACAGCTGAAGTTTGAAGAATGACTTCAATTTTTAAATCATCATAAACTCCTTGATGCGTGATTGGCTATGTATGGGTTATTTAATCAAACTAACGAGCTTCTACAAAGCAAAAGAAACCATCAAGAGAGCAGGGAGACAGCCCACAGAATGGGAAAAAATATTTGCCAACTGTATATCTGACAAAGGCCTAACATCTGGGATCTGCAAGGAACTCAAACACGCTGAAGGGAAGAAAACAGACAGCCCCTTTAAAAAGTGAGCAAAAGACATGAATAGACACTTCTCAGAAGAAGATATACGGGCAGCCAACAGACTCATGAAAAAGTGCTCAGCCTCACTCATCCTCAGAGAAATGCAAATCAAAATCACATTGAGATACCACGCAACCCCAGTAAGAATGGCCATCATCAATAAAACAAGCAACAACAGATGCTGGTGAGGATGCAGAGAAAAAGGAATGCTTCTACACTGCTGGCGGGAATGCAAACTAGTGCAACCTCTTTGGAAGACAGTGTGGCGATTTCTGAACGAACTAGAAACCGACCTTCCGGATGACTCAGTAATTCTCCTACTGGGAATATACTCAGAGGAACTCAAATCATTCTACAAAAAAGATACCTGCATACGTATGTTTGTTGTAGCTCTATTCATGATAATTATATTTTTTAAATTTTAATTTAATTTTAAAATTATATAGTACAAGAGAAATAGGTTTAATTTTGATACCCCAAGTCAATCAGTGAATAACTTTTGCTTGTTTTTAAAATGTGTGATCCTGTAAATGAAAAAGAAATTCTTATTGATATATAGGAATTTATCATGAGATACTGTTTGGTTACCTACAAGGCAAAGCAAATTTTTTGCTAGATATTGTTATAAGAGGGGGAAACCCCCAAAAACCTGGATTTATTTTTAAAAGATTGTGTATAAATATCTCCGTTTGATGCAATACACCTACTGAGATGTTTTTTCCACTGCTCAAAAGTTTTTGAACTTGTCCACACCCCCTCCCGTGGCAGTTTCCCACTACTGTCAATTCCTTTCTTATAGGATTATGATCATTGTTCAAGGTACTTGTCAATTTTGATGCCTTTTTAGTGCTTCTGCCGTTTTTTTTGTTTCCCTTCACCCACACTGGCAAAGCGTGTCCCTTTGAGGACTTTTTCATCCGGGAAACAAAAAAAGTCACTCGGAGCAAGACAGAGTGGACAGGGAGGGCAGGGCATGGGGGTCATGTCATTTTTGGTGAAAAACTGCTGAACACTCAAGGTGGTGTGGGCAGGTGCCCTCGTAAATCACCTGTCATGAAATGGGCAAACACATTGAAAGAATCTCCAAAAGAAAACCCACTGGAGACAAATGCAGCTTCTTATAACAATGCTAGCTGGTACTCTGATGCCAATGGGTTCCTAGAACTCTTACCTAGCAAGGGACACCTGTACTACAAGGCACCTGCCTTACAAAAAATAATTCTGTTATTTTTTGGGAGTCATCCCTTATATTTTCCCCAAATCTCTCCAGCAGAGAGCATGGACACTGCTGTTACCTGTCCTCTGAACACCCGTCAAGTTCTTAAGTGCCCATAGTGGCCATAGTCTCCCTGTGAGCTATTGTTTCAGCAGAGAATGCTCCTTCCTTCCTGCAGTCCTGATAAACCCAGCACAGCCTTCCCTCACGCATAGGAGCTGTGCCTCAGACACGTGCTCTTACAAGCAGTGTTCTGTTTGCTCAGAACGCTAATCTACAGCTTGTTTTTGCATATTTATTGGGGAAGTAGTCGGGTAAATACTCCTCTCCTGCGTTCTACTAAAGAGAATCAGGATCATGTGGGTTAGTTCTCCAACCTTATCCCCAGCATCTACAGAGTTCCTGGCATGGAGATGGAAACCAGCAATCAGTGGTTGGTAGAGGAGAGAAAGAAAGAAAAGAGAGGAACAGAGGAAGGAAGAAAAGGAGGGAAGGAGAGAAAAACAAAGAAAAGAAAGCAAAAGAAAAAAATGGAGACTTGCGTAGGGAAAGGAAACATTCTTATCAAGACCTATCTTAGATGAGGTGCTTTATAAATTTATAAATTTCTGCCTCATGACAATCTTATGGAACAGGGTTTTTGAGTCCCTGTTCAATCAACCTCACCCAACACCAGTGCCCTTCATACTATGCTCTTCACTCATTTAAACCTTTTTTCCTTTGTTTCTTTTAATTTTTTTCCACAAGGAGACACAGCATACAGATAACACAGAATATTATGTGTCAGGTATTTTTTCTAATTACTTTATATATATTAACCTATTTAATCCATCAAACAATCCAATTGTTGATCCCATTTTACCAATAAGGAATTTGCCACTAAGGTTAAGAGGCACAGCGACAGAATGTGCCAGCTGGGCACTGTGGCTCATGCCTGTAACCCCAGCAATTTGAGAGGCAGAGACAAGAGAATTGCCTGAGCCCAGGGGTTCAAGACCAGCCTGGCCAACTTGGCGAGACTTTGTCTCTACAATAATCATCAAAAAATTAGCTGGGCATGGTGGCATGTGCCTGTGGTCCCAGCTACTAGGGAAGCTGAGGTGGATGGATTGTCTGAGCCCAGTAGGTAGAGGCTCTGGTGGCCATGACTGTGCCACTGCACTCCAGCCCAGGTGATAGAGTGAGATCCCAACTCAAAAAAAAAAAAAAAAAGAGATAGACTGTTCCAAAGCCACCGTTCACCATTCACACCCAGGTGGTCTAAAATCAAGAGTCCTTCCTTAGTCACTACTTACACTGCCTCTCTCTGAACAAATGATTGAACAATCAAGTGATTTGGTTGAGTGGTATATATTCTGACTAGAATGGTTTACTGAGACATGAATGGCAGCTGACTGACAGCTCATAGCACCCCAGAATCATGATCATCCCTGGTCATGTCTTCCACTGACCAAGGCCCACACCACCAGTGACAGGACATGCCCGATGTGGCCCCAGTTGGGTCTGAGCAGTGCTGGAAGTCTCCAGTCACATAAGAATCAGGCCAGATCAGGCAATACCCATCCTAGAGAAGAAAACAAATGTCAGAGCTAGACAAACAGTTTCCTGTGGAAAATTTAACAATTTGACTGAAATAATAACCATCTTAATAATCGTGCACAATAGTTCAATTTGGTAAAATATTCGCTCTTATATGTGTTTTATTAAGTCAAATAATTTATATGTCAAATTATTAAGTGTTGTTTCGGGGAATAGTTAGCCCCTTTGGTTCCAACTTCAAACGTCCACTTCTCACTGTGAAACTCAGGGCTGAATTTTGGGTATGGTTCAGAGTATCAAAGAATGTTCAAGCTTAAAGAGGGCCTGGAGGTCGTGAATCCATCACCCCTATTTTATAAGAGAAAAAACTAAGGCCCAGAGAAGGAGTTTAAGAAGAATGAATATTTCTTTCAAACCTTAAAATGACTCAGAGAGAAAGACACCATGGAGAATAAACGTTTTTCATGTGCTGCCTTCACATTTAGTTACAAAACTGAGAAAAACACTCAGTAAATGATTGTTGCAATTAATCCTTCTACTCATTTTTACAATTTACTTAGCTCTCCTAGAAGTGAAAATGCCTTCTTTCTGCCAGGGGAACACTTGCTTACCGCGTAGCCAGGGGCCACACGCAAGAGGCTCAGGTGGGAAATGTGCATGTAGGTTGATGTAGTTCCATACCAGGGATACTATCTGATCTTGTTGGTTTGGATCAAATTTAAGTAGATAATGAGGTCTGATCAATATTTGTTGAGTGAATGGGAGAAAGGCATGAATTAATCAGTGGGGGAGTGTATGAAGCATCTCTCTTCTGAGGTGTACAGATTAGGCTGGAAGAAAATAGCATCCAGAACCTGTTCAGGGTGGCAGATGCCTCATGGAGAGACGTCTCTCGAAGGAGAACCTGTTTGTAAGTTGATCAAAGAGTTTGGAGGTTTAGGATGTAAACTAGGACAACTGCTGTAATGTCAAGGAAACCTGAAGGAGCTGAACTCAAATTTCAAACCCAGAGCAAGAGTGTCCTTTACATTCCCCAAAAGCAGAAATGTGTCTCTGGAGATAGAATGCAGGGGCTGGACTTGCAGACTTGGTCCTTCCAAGTGAAAACAGCACAGCTGGTGCTGTGGTGAGTGTGCAGTCTCCACTCTGCCCACCCCTTCTGTCCCACTTGCTCTGTCATGATCTGGATACCCTGCTAGACAGTGTCCTTAAGGGACTGGGTTCAATCTATCCAGTGTGCCAGGCTTGGCCATTTCTCCTCAGCCCAGCTTCCTCCAGCTCTCCAGAAGCAGAGAGCGTTCTGTAATGCTCAACGAACATCAAATCGACAATCTTGGCAATGTTTCCAGACATGTCAAGGCTTTGTTTCTTAAAATTCAGTCTCATATATGCCAAGTTCCAAATAAAGGTTAATAAGATTTTACTAAAGTTTGTATGTGCTGCGTTTGAAAAAGTATTATTAATGTTAAGAGTATTTTGATGTTTATTTGTAAATATTTAAATCATTTGAAGTTTCAGTTATGTTCTTTAGGCCAACAAAATCCATATATCTCTAGCATATTATAGCCCATTTTTGTTTATATGTCAGTTTCCCCATTAGACTACAAGCTTCCTGAGGTATGTTATATGATACTTTTAATGGCATAAGTGCACAATGTCATGATTATTAGTAAATGTACATACTTGTACAGCTACTACCGTATCTTATTTAAATCATTTTAATCACTTCACATAGAATTTCACACTCATTTGCCTTCACTCCCTCCTACTCCAGACCCAGGCCACCACTCATCTATTTTTGCTGTATTCATTCTTGGTGCTCCAGTGCCCCAGGAAATGCTTGGCACTTAGTAGACACTCTATTGAAATTTATTAAATCAATGCATTAATGAATGAATTAGTCACTATGAATGCAGCACTTTCTGCTCATAAATCTGACTCAATTGTTTGTGCACCAAGTACTTTCATCTAGCATCATCTCATTTGTCAGAACAACCTTTCAAGGTGTTCAGGAAAGGATGACGCTTTCTGAAAATGATAAAATAGACCTACAAAAGGAGAATGCCATGCTTAAATCTCCAAATTGTGAGTGATAAAGCTATGTCTTCTGACTACATGTTATTAACCCCATCATGGTCAAATTAAGGTGACAGAATATTGAGAAAATGTGGGGTCCACATAAGTATATTTGAACCTTTATATGGAACTTACATTTACAAACTCTCCTTATCTTTAATCTTGAATTTGTTTGATGTAGTACAATAAAAAATTACTTTAAAATGAAGTTGACAGATGTATAATAGCACAACTGAAAAAAATATTTAGGATTTCTAAAAACACACTTTTCCCCTGTTGTTTGCCAAATGTGAGAGCACACAACTTTCTGAGGACTTATTTTTGTGGCTGATTGTTCAATCTTGTCCTTCATTTTGGGAGTGATGCACAACTTGCTTACTTTTACATAACCAAAGTGATATGGAAAAAATTATTAAAATCTTTACAAAAGAAAAAGAAATTACTTCTATTGAAACATACTTAACTTGATCAAAATTACCTTCATTTTGGTATTGTGTGCTATATTTTACAGACATATGCTTCTGTAGAGGAAACAATCAGAAACTCCTTTGAAAGTGGCTCCTGTTGTCACAGGTCTGTGAAAACCTGTCATCCTGTTCTGGGTAGATTCTTGCTGGTTCAGGCAAAAGATGACATCGTTCCTTGCCTGAAGTGAAATAGGCTTCAGCTAGCAGCTGAATTTGTCCAGGACTTACAGAATATCACACAGGACCTTCAAGTGCTGCTTTCCTTGAATGTCCAAATAATGAGGAGAGGGTGATTGTTAAAGAATTTTAAAGCTTTTCTGGTTTCCTAAAGTGATAATTCCTTTTATGGCATTATTTGTTAGGTTGCTACAAAAGTAATTGCGGTTTTTGCATTGTTTAAATTGCCATTTGATATTGGAATACATTCTTAAATGTGGTTATATTATACATCATTTTAATGTGCATTTCTTGATTTTTTTTGTTAATGACTTATTACTTGTTATTTATTTTAGACTATGGAAATGATGTTAGGTCAGAAAAAAAATTCAAGCAATTTTCTTATTCAAGTTAAAAATGGGTCAAAAAACAGAGAGACAATTTGCAACATCAACAACACATTTGTCCCAGGAACTGCTAATGAACATACAGTGCAGTGGTGGTTCACGAAGTTTTGCAAAGGAGAAGAGAGCTTTGAAGATGAGGAACACAGTGGCTGGCCATTGGAAGTTGACAACAACCAATTGAGTGCAATCATTGAAGCTGATCCTCTTAAAAGTACGCGAGAAGTTGCCAAAGAGCTCAACATCAACCATTCTATGGTCGTTTGGCATTTGAAGCAAATTGGGAAGGTGAAAAAGCTCTGTAAGTGGGTGCTTATGTCATGACTTAAGTCATGACTTGACCGAAAATTTAAAAAAGCATCATTTGAAGTGTCATTTTCTCTTATTCTATGCAATAACAATGAACCATTTCTTGATCAGATTGTGAAGTGCGACCAAAAGTGGACTGTATATGACAACCAGCAACAACCAGCTCAGTGGCTGGAGTGAGAAGAAACTCCAAAGCACTTCTCAAAGCCAAACTTGCACCCAAAAAAGGACATTGCCACTGTTTGGTAGTTTGCTGCTGGTCTGATCCACTACAGCTTTCTGAATCCCAGTAAAACTGTTACATCTGAGAAATATGCTCAGCAAATCCATGAGATGCACCAAAAACTGCAACACCTGCAGCCAGCATTGGCCAACAGAAAGGGCCTCATTCTTTTCCACAACAATGCATGACCACATGTTGCACAATCAATGCTTCAAAAGTTGAACGAATTGGGCTATGAAGTTTTACCTCATCTGCCATATGCACCAGACCTCTTATCAACTGACTACCACTGCTTTCAAGCATCTCAACAACTTTTTGCAGGGAAAATGCTTCCACAATCAGCAGCATGCAGAAAAAGCTTTCCAAGAGTTCATTGAATCACGAAGTGTGGATTTTTATGCTATAGGAATAAACAAACTTACTTCTCATTGGCAAAAATGTGTTGACTGTAATGGTTCCTAGTTTGATTAATAACAATGTGTTTGAGTCTAGTTATAATGATTTAAAATTCACTGTCTGAAACCACAATTACTTTTGTACTAACCTAATATAAATTGCTACAATAAAGTTTTACCTTATTAAAAAAAAAACCCAACTTGTATGTATAATTTATCAATATGAATAGTGGTTTTTTATGAGTTAGCAGTTTTGTTTGTACTCTGCTCCTTGGGTACGTGTACAGCTCCAGCTATAGCCATAGCCGCAGATCTATCGCAACTGTACAAAATGCACTAGTAGCCGAGCTCGGTGGCTCAGCCTGTAATCCCGTGCCTTTGGGAGGCTGAAGTGAGTGGATTGCCTGAGCCCGCGGGTTCGAGACCCGCCTGGGCAGCGAGACCTCATCTCTACAATAAATCAAAAAATCAGCCGGGCGTGGTAGCGCGCGCCTGTAGTTCCGGCTATTTGGAAGGCTGAGGCAGAAGGATCGCCGGAGCCCAGCAGGTCGAGGCTGCGGTGGCTGGGAGCGGCCACTGCACTCCAGTCTGGATGACAGAGTGAGACTCCAACTCAAAAAACAAACAAACACACACAAAAAAACACCCCAAAATGCACCAGTGGAAATGAGGGGAAATTACAGAGACAAGCAAATACATGAACAAGAACACATCTGTGTGATGGTACATTACTGTGGAGTCTGAGTATTTGAAAACTGGAGGTCACAAAGTCCAAAGATGAGAAAACTAATGCCTAGGGAGATAGGAACAGCACGTGCAAATTTAACTTGAGGAAGAGGAAAAAAAGAAGGTTTTGACAAAAGTCAAGAATTTGTTATAAAATTTATATTCCAACAAGTTGAGTAGATTTATTAATTTAAACATCAGAATACCAGATATAATATTTACTATGGTTGCAATTTAAGTTGTAAATTTATCAGTTCAAAACTTTGTATGTGATTCATTTTAATACAACATCTATATCTATGCTACTTCCCTCATTTTAGGAAAACCCCTCATATAAATCTGTGAGTTAGATTCAATGTTGAAGTGAGGTATTTAATCTTTCTTTCATCCATCTGTTCATTAATTTTACAGTAAGTATTTACTGAGTGTCTGCTACAAGTCAGACACTGTGTTGTGCTTCGAGATTAAAGCCAGAGTAAGTCACATGAGCTCCTTACTCAATGGAGCTGACATTCTGGTGGGAAGGCAAATCATACATAAGAAAATCAATAAATGAGTAAAAGTTTCTGACAATGACCTGCATAGTGAAAAAGTAATGTCATAAAGAACAGCTGGGGAGGTTATTTTAAAAGAGATGGTCACAAAAGCAAATGCAGTAACATCTAAAATTGACAAACGGGACCTTATCAAGCTAAAAAGTTTTTGCATGGCAAGAAAAACAAAATCAAGAAAGTAAAGAGACAACCCACAGAATAGGAAAAAAAATATTTGTAAGCTATGCATCTAACAAAGGCCTAACATCCAGGATCTATAAGAACTCAGAATAAATGACAGGAGAAAGCCAAACAACCCCATTAAAAAGTGGGCAAAGGACATGGACAGACATTTCTCAAAGGAAGACAT